GTCTTTCCTCGGCTCACTTCCCTTGAAGTGGGGAATCCAGTGAAGGAATAGTAAAAGGCTATTGATCAAGCAATTCCTGCCACATCTGGTATGCAAGAATACAGATGTTAAACAAGATTAAGAAAGAGAAAGAAGTTGAAATCTTGTCGTTATCTTGTACCATGTTGTGTAGTATTACGTATTAAACATAACATAGCTGTGCAATACTATTACATAAGGTCATCAACTGTTCTTCCTGGGTTTCATACTTGTTGAAATCAGTGTACACTAAAAATTTTCGAGAATAATTCCATCGAAAAAAGCGGACAAATAATATTCGACTGTTCTTATCCTATGCAAAATATCATCTCCGAATCTGGAACTGATTAATTAATATATTTCAAGAATCAAGATTGTGTTCACCACAGAAAGTTGTAGAAATATTCAGTAAGCTGTTCCATTAAATGTTCCAGGAATGTGTATAATTTGCAGAACAAGTGAGTCTAATCTAATGCAAACCATTCATTAGATATCGAAGAAATTATAAGCATTTCTTCAACATTTTTGAGAAGTTCTTATTTTTAAAATAATCAAAATTCAGACCACTATACCTAAGACAACTAAACTCAATTATTTGACTATACTTTCTAACGAGTCCCACNGTCTTTCCTCGGCTCACTTCCCTTGGAGTGGGGAATCCAGTGAAGGAATAGTAAAAGGCTATTGATCTAGCAATTCCTGCCACATCTGGTATGTAAGAATATAGATGTTAAACAAGATTAAGAAAGAAGAAGAAGAAGTTGAAATCTTGTCGTTATCTTGTACCATGTTGTGTAATATTACGTATTAAACATAACATTGCTTTGCAATACTATTACATAAGGTAGATGGACTGATCTTCCTGGGTTTCATACTTGTTGAAATCAGTGTACACTGCAATTTTACGAGAATAATTCCATCGAAAATAGAAGACGAGTAATATTGGACTGATCTTATCCTATGCAAAATATCATCTCAGACTCTGGAACTGATTAATTGAGATTGTGTTCACCACAAAAGGATCTTCCGCAAAAAGTTGTAGAAATATTCAGTAAGCTGTGCCATTAAATGTTCCAGGAATATGTATAATTTGCAGAACAAGTGTCTATTTTAATGCAAACCAGACGGTTTTTAAAAGCAGCCATTGCTTCTGCATCTTAAAATTCCACGCTCTCATTAGATATCAGAGAAATTATAAGCATTTTCTTCAACATTTTTGGAGAGTTCTTATTTTTAAAATAATCAAAAAACTTCAGACTTCTTCACCTTCAAATCTTGACTACCGAAGACAACTAAACTCAATTATATACCTCTAATGAGTCCCACATCGAAATAAAACCAA